CACTTATACAATCCGCGCGATTAATGATTACAGCTAGCGTAAACCACAAACCGTTCAATACTCTATTCTGTAGGTCGTAAGGTTGGAAAACGTGCGGTGATGAGTGCGCTTACTCATTTAGTAAGAATAAGGAATATTTTTCTAAATGTCAAAACTTTTGCTAACATTTACATATTTGATCTATAGTTTAGTACAAAGCGATGTGACTTGAGAAATGTTGGAGAGTGTTGCAGCTATTTATCTACATAGTTGACGAGAATCAGAAGTTATGTATAATGTAACAACCCATTATATGTTAATGGTGACATAAAGGGACAATCAAGCACCTAATTATTGTATAATGAGTGTAGTGGCGATGTATACGATGATAATATCACGGCAGACGGAACTCACACAAGCGCTGGAGTAATATCTCCATGTAAAAACAAAACCGCTTATCATAATAAGAATTTCGTACATGGATGACATGCGCATTTTAACGAGAAATGAGAATAAAACATTGAGCACGTCGAGATGGATATTACAAGTAAGAAGAATGAAAAGAACTTGAAATAATATTTTGAGACATGAAGATCATTAATCACAAAGATATTCCTGCTAAAATTAAGAAGAAACAAAATCCAAATTGAAATAAAAAGGGCTAGTCTAGCTAAAATTATTACAGAAATCAACTACCGCCTCTTGAAACAATGATCATTTCCCTATCAGTGTGCGCCTGCGCAACTATTATTCAGATAGTCTCCGGTCGTAGCGGCAGTAAGCAGCGACTGTAGCGTCATCCACTGTTAACTAGTCGCAAGGCCAACTGGGGATTATGTGCGACACAACTATTAACTCAGATAACAAAATAACAAGACATTTCTTGGATTGGATCCGCACTTGCAGTGTTACGACCAGCATTAGTTGGCACTGTAATGTGGTTGCCGGCCAATTCCGGTGGGATGCCTTGTTATCACTGGGTACTTGGCGGAAAGGGTTTAAGTTACATCAAGATGGTTCTGTCTGTCAGTCTGTCTTAAACTGGACTTGTGACAACGGTCACTCTGAAACGTCCTTTCGTATTGTTTTGTTGAGGATGTCTTGTACATCTCAAGTGGACAACGAGAATAATTTATCACAGTGATTGACACTAAACTGGCTGTCTCTATTTACTGTTCCTTAGCCGTGAAGCACTACATCAACGCATTTTGTTAAATAAAAACATTCCGAGAGTGACGTGAGAAGGGTAGCAAACGAAATGTCAGCAACAACTAGCCGGAGTGGTCAGACCAGAATTGTTTCAAACATTTCAGCTTTGACCCGAGCACTGATGAATTATGTTTTAATCTTAGTTTTACCGACACAAATGTTATGTACGCAAAAGTATTTCTCTTTGTACACACTCTCACAAATGTTCCGAAAGCCGACAAAGAAGCCCGCAAGTGGAGGGTAGGGTAGGAATTTTATAAAATAAAACGCTGCTCCATTTTCCTTTTCGGAGAGTTATTTAAACCGTGTACACAAGTTCAAATAGAAAGGAATTTGATGCAACTCTTTCCGACTATGACCGTGACTTCGGCCACTAAGAGTACATAGTAATACTATATTTGCATAATTTCGCCATTACTACACATCATAATCTGACTACGAATGTTCGAAAATGTCTTACACGAGCGTAATTTTTTGTGCTAATACCATTTTGTAGTAGGATATAATGTTCCACGTGCTAAATAATTTTGCGTCAATTTACAAGTAAATGATGATTGGTGAAGTGAATAATGGAAAACTTGACATTATAAGTCGTTCATCGTCCACGTCTCGTAATGACTATGAATCAACTCGAACTTTGGCCTAAGCAATGCTAATGAAGATGTCTGTAAGGCTGTAAACCTCAGTCGCACAAGGTGACGCATTCATTACTCCAAGCAATAAACTAAACAACATTCATTTTTACATAACGTAATGGCACGTCGTCTCTTAAAAGTCTTAATTACCGGTTACTGCGAGTACCTGGGTATTTATGGAGAATTCGAAATCGAAACGGTTCCAATAGGTACTGAGAACGGAAAATATCCTTTGGAAGAAACAACCAGCAATATAATTCCAGGTACTGCTAGACTTTTCCAATAAGATCATTTAATTTGGTAGAGAAGAAAGCTTGTTCACACAGCTAGGTATGCATGCAGCATACATCACTGACATGTACCGTGTTCGGTATAAATAAAGCTAGACATGGAACGAGCTCTACACACGCCACATACCTACCTACCACGGCATGCATGCACCCACACTAACCCGTGCAGTTTTCCAACCTCAGGAAATTTATACACACGAGCTTTCAGCGTCGGTCAAGGCCAGGCCAGCTCAATTATGAATAATTCTACAGTTAATAACTAGTCTTGAGCAAGAAATAGGTGTGTCAACCATCGGACGTCTGACTACAAGTTCGTGTCCTGTTTGGTTGGATTGTAATAGTATGATATGTATGTAGTCACTTATAAAAAGTAAAAGCAAACTGCGAATTTTTATCTATTACAGATTTGTTTGCTTGGCTTGCTCACCGTCGTAATGGTTGAGTAATAGTCATAACTACATAAACGTATATTTCACATGGCCCAGACTAGGATAATCCCGTGTCGTGACTCGTGTGTGCAATTACGAGCACAGAGCACGTTCACAAACATGCACATCTGTGGATCATAAAAAATCTGATGCGGGAATAAATTCACGACACAGAGCAGACATTTCAGCATTGCGCCATTTAGGGCGAAAGTACGACGATAAAACGCAAGAAATATAGTATTTATGTAGTACTTTATCAAACGATGTATTTTAATGTTACATTATTTTACCTAGTAAACCAAACATTTTATATGCAACACAATATTGGCGTGTCAAGAAGCTGGGTGTTACTCACTCTGTCTAGAAGTATTCGACTAAGAAATGGCAACATATTAAGTGGTTTAGTAGATGTGTAGGTAATGTGTTGTCTAGTCGGGCGAGCAGTATTAGCGCGGCACTAACTAACGGGGACACCGTCTCGACATTGACATAATTCACAACATCAAAGTAAACAGGGGGACATCAATCCTTATGTACACTTTCCGTGCGTGCTTGCACACTCTGTGGAAGACAGAGTCAATATTGGAACTTTGGAAGAATTTCTTTGTGAGAATGTTTGTCTTTTTGAAACAGTCATTTATGTAGCTTAAACTGTCAAGCACCAAGCGGTCACCGGTGACCGCGACCTATTGTTCTTTAATTGTGTCTATAAAACCGGTACTCGACGAGTTAAGTTAATAAAGTAAAAACAATAGAAAAATATCGTTCTAAATTAAAAACTATTTCTATTGGATCCAGCAATTTGGTACACCACAAATGCTCTGCCATTAAAAAATGCCGCAGCATCCGTCAATAGATGTTCAAGAGTTTATTTCCAGCTCGGCCAATCAGCAAACGAGTGGAGTTAACTAGTTAACCTACATTTTTGACAAAACTACATCAACCAATTTGGCACAGGACACGGTCAGGATAATTAATGTCATTCATTGCGCGTGCGCATGTCATTGCTATTTTTTACTCGACTATTTAGTAGATAATATCGTTTGTATAAATAGTATTCCAGAGGCTATTTCATCATAATAATAACACAGAAACATGTTCGCTCGTTATCTTTTGAATTTATGAAATTGGGAATCAAAGTTGGAAAAATTGGGAATCAAAATAGAATGCCAGAATGATAAAATATCGGTAGATAACGTGGCGTCTCGACATAATATGTTTGCTTTCTTTCTGTTTAATGATTTTTATTACAAATATAAATTGTCGTCTTAATCCTTTTGATATAGAAACAGTGCAGACATCTAGTCATACCGGCGCCGTTACGTTTCAAACTAGTACTCACATAACATGTGCGGAAAGTAAATAATGTACATACATTTTCTAGTACAACTGTTTACAGTAAAAATAAAATAACAAGCAAGTAAATTGTACGATAAATAATAAGGAATGTGCCACAATGGGTCGGAAATAGTCGAGTGACGTAAGGTGACGTTGTATAACGCACTGGCGATACGATGCCTGCACGCACCACGCATTGCCCACAACCCCCATGCCATGCCAGCTACACTTTATGCAATATTTTCCTCTAGTTAAGTTAACCTTCCCACGCGAACTTTATTATAGCTATGATTACGTACCTATTGTAAATATTACAACATTTCGTTGCGTTTGCTTAGGTTACTTGTAAATATTTTTGTTATATCGCATCTTTTTTCTTGGTTTATTGAACTACTTTCTGCTACCTTCTTATAACTGCCATCCCAATTACAAATAGCAACTATTAGTATTACAATAGTGAACACTATAACATGTGTCCAATCAGAACTACTTGACAATATGCATCGTTGCGAGGCACCGGCTCGGAAATCGAACCTGACACTGTGACCTACATTCTAATGAAGCGTACTGCGTCGCATTGTGCTTTATTATTCCTATGTTAGTGTTATATAACTGAATGTGCCGTTGTTGTATATCATTGATCCATATTCCGGCACTAATGATCCACAGCTTGTAGTTCTCACAAAGCATCGACACATGCATTATGCATGCCCTTCCTAAATTCTAATACATAGATGTTTGTATCTAGTAGAACATTGTACAACTCTTACAAATCATTGTTGTGTAAACCTGATCACACGTCGGAAGACCTTGACACACCTAAGCTGTTCGAGTCAAAATCTCGCGTGATGTAAGCAGAATGGACCTCAAGATCTTATCGAGCTCAGTTAGCCTGATTGCCGGTGTTTCAAACTGTTTGTGGGAATAATTGCACTACTACTGCCGATTGTAGATGTCCTGGTGACCGTATATGGAACGAATATCTATGAGAAAGTTAGTGGATCTTACGTCCGAATAAGTACGCAATAGCCTACTCACGTAGAAACTTTAATTTTGGATGACTTCTAAACATTTGACTATTTTATTGATATTGAGGAAGAAACAAATAAAACAACACTTACCAGGATAAAAGTCGTGGGACTTGGACATCTTGACCCTGGCGCCAGTGTCTTTTTGCAGCTGGGCGATGGTCTCGCCACCCTTGCCGATGATGGCGCCGGCCACCATGGACGGCACCAGCACCTTGAAGTGGTATGTCGGCTCCACGGCTGCAGAGCATACAGTTGCATGGTGAGAAGAGTTCACACTAAACACTACATTCTGAGCACTGTGTTCCGTTACAAACAATCAATAAAAACTAATAGTATCGTTCTCAGAAGTTATTATCGATATATAAAAGCAATTACAGAAAAATAGTAATGGTTTCTATGGTTTCTATGTAAACAAGAACGGAAGAGAACAAATATTTGCGTAGGACGTTATGAGATATTGAGGAATATAATTGCTTTTGTATTGACTGCTAGCTACAATAATACATACTTTATCTGTAGTTATGTCTGGATATATATTACTGTAACTCTGTAATTCCAATTTGCCAATTAATCAATACAGCGATTTCACGAGCCCTTTGAAGATTATCCCAAAAACAGATTATATAAATTGGTTTCAGCTACATTCTGGATGCTGCCGGCACCCGATATAAATTAACTCGGGATCTCATAAGTAATTAAAGAAAATACAACCGAGGTTAATGCGAAAAGGGTTGTACTAATTGATTAGCTTCGTTAAAAAATACTACAAATTGGATCGGTTGAGGTGAAATCTAAAACGGAATATAGTGCTCAGGATTCATTAGGAATACATTTAAAATGAGGTCTCATGGATTTATGTAAATTGTGAATACAGCAAATTGGTTTCAACCATGAAATCCCAGTTTATATGTATAATAATATATCAGCAGAGGCTGGTGATCAAAAGCATCTGTAATGCAGTCGGAGCACCAGTTCCGGCAGAGTGTGAGTCAGTGTGAAGTGCACATTATGTATGTATTGTAAACCACACCTGCGGGCCTGTGCTAATGTCAGTCGCGATGACGGTGTATGGAGATTCAATAGCCAACATCAAAAATGTATTATTTTATTAATTAGCACCAACATCAGCTAGTTTGGTGACGAATTAATCTTGCGAGTTTGTTTTGGCACGACTCGATAGTTCCACCGTACCAGTGTTAGATTTGTTTGCATTTATGCTCGTATATTATTTTGAAGGCAAATATTACAGCTTTTTATATTTCATAGTTATTAACATGCATTTTATTCGCTGATTAATGCTAGATCTAAACACTGATGAAGAGGTCGACCAAGAAAAGCCTAAATGATTGATGATAGAGAAGTTTAATGACCGCTTTGGTTGGAGAACTTAGTCCAAATAAGAAAGACGTTGTGGTGAGAGCGTCAACTTTTCAGCGAAACATTTTGAAGAAAGATATTAAGTGGCGACCAGAAAGTTACAAAGTTTTGATATTTCCCAGAGGGATAAACAACTTGTACCATTGACAAAGAAGACGGACCAAGTTCGGAGACGAAGAACAAACTAAGTAACACCGGACAAGTTTCACTTGCTTTCATGGTTAATTTATAATTTTGCAGTAAACCAGAGCGTTCGCTGTGACTATACAACTAATTTTAGTTCATTAGAGCTCAGATTTGAATATAAAATACCTTTCTGACGTAATTTCACACCCGCTTTCATAAAATTCCAGCGGAACAGTTAGGAGGCAGACCTTGAGGGACGCTAGTAGCTCTTGTTAGGAAGTATAAATCAGAAATATTGCGAAGTTGTACATAACAATGTGAAGAAACTAGTGTGCCACCTACATTCAATGTGTTTCAATTGAGTGGCAACCCACCGGCTGACGGCGCATCTCATTTGACCTCATTTCAAATGGAGCATGGCAGTTCACCTGACACCACTCACGCCGGTAGATACGAGCCACCAATTAACAATATGTATTGTACACGAACCATTCAGTAATATTATATTTTAATGGCAACTAAACTCGTATTTATGTTAAAACATTCCTTGAAGATTTAATAGTCTGTTAGGACCTAATTGAAATTTTCACCAACTTGATAGCGGCGCAGTATTGTATAGGATTCCACATCATTCAAAATTAGCGAGGAAATCGTTTCAAGTTCAGATAGTTAAATTGCCTAAACATTTCATGTTGCGGAGAATATTAAATTCAAATTACTTTTGTAACCAAAATAGCACTGACAACTCAATCGCAATCTCTACAGAAGAATTACGTTATGTATATTTCGGTCGGAGAGCTATTCAATATTCTTTGAAATGAAAAATAGTATCTGCGAAGTATACCAATCCACGGCGAGGACCGCGAAGATTTTTCAAAGAGAAATATTTTCTAAAGCGATTTAGAACACAAGCGGTGCAAATAATATTCTTTTCAAACGTCGGTCGTGTGCTAAAAAAAGGTTGTCATTGATTTATAGATATTCATGACGTAGCAAAACGCCGCAGTCATGAATTTATTACATTATGCTTTTCCTACGTCAACATTATAGCGTGTATCATGCGCGGTAATTGGCTATTGTACAGACATTACAACAGCAACGGGCAATTATTCAACACATTAGTAAACAACGGCGGCACTAGAATGTATCAGAAGTTCAGAACATTCAGAACGTATTAGCTCTCTGGCAAGTCGCATTCAACTTGGCTTTAAAACATAGCAACTTTACATTTGTTCAGGAACAGGAAAGCTTACTTAATTAACTGGGGGAAATAATTGCGATAAGAAACAGTATAGAAATGAAAACAGGCCACCTTATTTCTTAGAATTAAAATAAAATAATACTTGAACATGTTTTTCGTCTACGAGTGCAGTCGTTCACTTCAAAATAAAGGGAAATGGACAATAGGAATATTATTCGAGAGAAAAATCTTTATGTACAATCTCGTCATTATCTGAGTTACAGAAGAGGGAAGGCAGGGAAAAGGCCTATTCTTCTACCCCACATTAACAATGGAGATCTGAGGCTTACGCGACCGACTCGGAGGCTGATAATCTAGACCGGGCTGACCACGGACGAATTATTACGACAGGGTTACGCCAAGATTAATTTCGCACTCAATTTGGCATTCACTTGATCCCCGATAAGGTCGTCTTATCAAAGATTACAACCCTTTTATCTTTAGGTACGTACTTTTATAACAAAAGCTTTTTCTATTATGAAATAATAACAAGCGTCGTCCAATTCGGGAGTCAGGTTGCCTCTTTGACAAAGGATCTCATTTAATGGCGCTCTCGTGTTCATTGGTGTTCTCGTTTTTTCGCATCAATTATTTTTTATTAGTCGCCTTCACAATAAAGTTGTTTGACATAGAAATCAGAGGATTATAAATAGGTGAGAGTTTGCCGCACCGCTGCCGCACCTTTACTAGGTGTTCTAGGTCGCGACCTTATGGGCGCACGTTGCCAAGCGCCGCATTTGGCAATGCTAAGCCTCTAAAAGTTTGGCGATGCAAGCAAGCTTTCAGACGCAAACATATTGCAATCGTTTCGCTTGCAGTATCGCTATGTTCGCTATACATGGTCATGTTTCCGATGCCAATGTTACGGCTAATGAAATTGAATGTAATTATACAAAGGTTTCTAATTGTTATTTTCGGTATTTAATAAAGTTGAAAGTTCGCCACAAAACATTGTGTCACGAAAACAGAATCTTCAAACAATAATTACAAAGACAGTATTTAAATAACTTGTATTATTATGTATTGTGCTATGAGCTTTGTGTCCTTGTTAAGTCTGAGCAATGTTTATTCATTTGTTCAACAGTAATACGTAATGAGAATTTGTTGCGAGCCACTGACCACGCCGACAGCTACAAAACAACACGGTGTTTGGTGTTTGCCAAATTACTCGTATATTTCTCTGCTAATAAGAGATATGATGCTATAAAAAATGAGAAGTAAAAAAATCGACTGCCTCGTTGGCCGAGTGGTCGTAAACCACTCGGCCAACGAGGCAGTCGATTTTTATACATGGGACTCATAACACAAATAGTGAAAAGTGGGCGTTACATTTTCCAGTGGCATGATGCAGAAATGCACCTCTGCCTACCCTTCGGGGATAGAAGGCGTGTTATGTTAAAAAAATCGTTCCAAAAGTTTTGCTCGAGAAACGAAACTCAGGTATTAAATACGATTATCATTATTGTAGTTGACGACGTGGTTAGAAGAGTCGTTTAAGAGAAATCACGGTACAAAATAGCATATAAACCTGTGAGTTTACGGCGAGGAAAGCGATCACATCGTGTCAATCAATAGTGTCGGTTGACTTGCCACTGTAGCATGCAGACTATTGCTGCCATGAACAGATTGTTCTGCGGCTCGACCAGCGGCATTGACAACCAATCGATACTAAGCATCGACTTTGACGTCAAACTCGCTTTCATCGTCTGTTCACTGGCGTTTTAATATTCTAAACTTTGCAACGAGATCTGTGTCAGCGGCGTCCCGGATTTTTTGTTCTTTTTTTAAAGACCGGACACAAGGCCTTAAAGAGGGCGGAAGGCTCGAGAGGCCTTTACCCAGCAGTGGGTGAAAGTAGGCCGAATAGACAGAAATCTTTTGTTAGTTCATTTGATAACCAAGACCGAATTCACAGGGTATTTCAATTTTCCAACTTGTTAAAATCATGTTTCCAGCTTTTGTTGACTGTACAATATTGCTTGTCTTATATTAAGTGAGTTAGCAAACTAGTATGCTTAACATTATTATGTTACCTTAACCCAAGATTAAAGCAACATTTTATAAATATAGTGCTCGCCGTGTTCCCATTTCAGAAGGTACTCGGCTTGCATAAAGCTGCTGGCGTTTCATCTTTGTGCTTTGATCTGGAGCTGCAGCCGAGATTAATGAGGATTTTGTCTAGTCACACCATATCGCCAGCGGGTGTATAGTAAGTACTGCATTTTTCTTACTTCTCAATGTTCGAAACTATTACTCGATTGCAGCATAATTAAAAATATCTGAAGTGAGTTTCGTCTGGGTGTAATAATTTGTATCTTTTGAGTCCAAACCATTCCTCAAATTGTTAGATCAGCTTAGTGTCGCATTTTCCCCAAACGGTTTATAGAATGTTGAGCAGAGCACCGCACGACCAATATTTATTTTTACCACATTTTAGCAAAATGGCCGCGGATGGCTCTAATAAATCACGCGTGATCCGATCACTCGTCGGTCT